TATGAACGTTGCCACAAAGCGCGTCAACATTGCGCGCTGCCGTCCACGGTGCACTGCTTCCCATTTCTCTTCCCCTGCTGCGCTTAATAGCAACAACAGCTAGACCAATGAAATAAATGCAACCGCTGAGTGGCAACACAGCTTTGAGTAGGACAGCCCCCGTATGCATCAGCAGTCCCTCAGTCGCCTATCGCTTTTGCCATAGTTCTCACGCCTAGCAGTATGCTAATTTAAAAAGCAGCACTCTAGTGTCGACAGCTACTGCTGCAGAGTTGCAATATTCTTGACAGGATTAAATAGCGCTCAAGTGGTGTAGACAGATGCACATGTGAATAGAGGAAGAGGCAGAGAGAGAGAGAGAGTTGCGCGTTGGTTTCGGGGAAATGGGGTAGTGTCAGATTTAATTTCGTTAGTTTATTATTCACCCCACTTTATGGAAAAATACACAAAAGAAAAGGATGAAAGATATGCGAAAATGAGCTCAACTGAAAATAAAATAATTTGTTTCAAATATAAAAAATAGTAACTCGTAGCACTCTATCAATGAGCTTCTTCCAGTTCTATGCAAACCTTTGCCGACATTTTATTCGAATCTAGCAAATAGCCGGCGTGCTTCGCTGCGCCTTAAAAGTGTTTTTGTGCTGTTTGATATCCGTATTGCAGTATTTAATTTATTTTATCATTTTAATTTAATACTATTTTTCAAACAGGTGGCAACCCTCCTCAAAAATATTTCCGGCATTAAACTTAACTAAAACCTAAACTTTCCTTGATACCCATATTGCAACAGATGGCAACCTTCAACAAAATATATTTTTTATTTTTTGCAAATCCCACTGCAATATTTACTTAATCCTTTCAATATAATAAAACTACCAATTTTCAAACAGGTGGCAACTCTTTAATTTTTTTCTTTCTATATTTAAAGTTAGACCACTCACTAGCAATGCATCGGTGAAAACTGCATGCGGTGCCCTGCATTAGTTTTCGAGTGATGCGCGTACAAACATACAGACTGACAGAAAAAAATTCTAAACATTTTTGACTTGGCTTCTGTTGTTCTATTAAAGACCCCCCATATTAATTTTTTCAACCTCATTATGCAAGTGGTGCTCTGTGGCTGTTCGGAGCGCTGTGTTGTGACAGGTCTCCATAGTTTAGAACCGGCAAGCCGATTGTCTTGTATGCTGCCAACACCATGTCTTTATCTTTGCCCCAAGTGCTGCGGCAAGCGATTTGAGGACATTGTTGCAGCTCTGTACTTTCTCGGAATTGCGGTTGTTTGCGCCGAGAAAGAAAGCAAGATATCGAAGATTATTCCGAGAATTTTCGGGTTGTTAACTGTCGGAATTGGTTCGTAGTTTTCCAATCTGTAGTCTGACCTCTTTCGTTTAAATGATGGAAAGGGTTGCCGTAGGGTAGAAGGTTAGGCTCCTTCCAGTGAAGCGAAAAAGTTCTGAGGTAACCGTTTCGTTTCGAGCACAAGTAATCAATAACATTCCCGGACGTTATCATCAAGTAATCGTCAGCATATCAGATGATGGAGACTCCCTTTGGAACAGAACAGAACGGTACACCACCATGTGGGACTACCTTTTTAATTTTCCTTGACTTTGGCATTTTATATCAGAACTTGACTGATGAGTGTCTAATCAGCTATTTATCGACCACCGTTTGAGTCGTCGTCATAGAGAGAAAGTCAGGAGCGTGGAATGACACATGGTGCCGAACGGCTTACTTAGATAGATCCAACGCCACTTGGACCCCGGTTAAGTCCACGAGTTGGGTGTGTGTATGTTGCTGTGACTGCTTTAAGGAGCTCTAATCATTTTGTTTACAGCCAGTTCTTCTGTTATCTTCCAAGTTGTGAGTTAGTTTTGTTGAACGGCTGTTTGGTCTTGTGCTACAGTTTCCCGTATTTTCTTTTTTTAGTTACCCTTTGATGATCGCTAAAACTTTTCTCAGGTCAAAACTTGCTGAAATTCTTAGTGCCATTTCATACGAAATGCGAAATTATTCTGCCTTTTTGCATAAACTCTTTCACAAATTTGTACATTTCGAATTCATTTTCTATTGTTGTTGATGCGAAAATTAGCGAATAACAATTTGGCGCCAAATTCGCAAACAAAAGACGCTGCTGAAGTGAGTAGAATAACTGGGATAATAAAAAATAAGGAAATGTATAAAATTGGCAAATATTTGGCACGAAAAGTTTTGGACGACATGCAGTAAATGGGTGGCAGTTCGCATGAAGTACAAAAAGGAGCAAAAGCGAGGAGGTGAAACGTTTGAATTCGGATGTAGTGAAAAACCAAAAGAAAAGAAAGAAAATTAGAAAAAGAAGCGTTGTCAAGAAAGTCGTTGAATGGTGAAGTTTTAATGCGATTTGCTGCAATTTTTTGTGAGAAATAAAATGTGGTAGGAGTGCGCTGCTGAACAAGCGCCGCGCACAGTGGTTCAAAACCGAAGCCTTTATATTGCAATCAATTTGATCAAGTTTGTTTTTCATGAAAGCTTATAAAATTTGCAGGAGACCAGCTGAGCCCGATTTTTTTATTTATTTGTATTAAATTTTTTAGTGCAGTGCAGAAAAAGTAGCAATTTTGAAGAACAAAGATTTTGCTGCTCCAGCTAATAAAATAAATAAATAAATAAAATGGAAATTTTATAATTTTATTATTTGTATAAAAAATTTTGGTACGCAGATTTGTAGATTGTTAAATTTTAGAATAATAAAATGCAAGTGTCAAGTGGCTATGAGTTCACGTTGAGCATACACGTTGTCAGCATACTGTACGTGGAACAAAATGCACAACAAAATGTCAGCTAAAAAAATATGTAAAAATCAACGCGAACTAGGTCTGTGGACCTAGAAATTTTATAAAAATTAAAAAAAAAAACAATTAATTTTGGTAAATTTTTTTTATAACAGTACGATTTCTATTGTGATTTTTTTTTTCGTTTTTGGAGAACCTTACAATTATTTTCAACTACTTTTTGCTACTTTTTGTGCACTTTACGCCAACAATTTAATATAAATAAATAAACATATTATAAGCTTTCAATAAAAAATGAATCACGTTGAGTGAACAATTAAGGCTCCAGTAAATTATGAACACTAAATTCCAATTTGGAACCACTGTACTTAGATATGTATTTATCTACCCACACATTCACAAGTGTCTGCGTGTGCGCCATGTGTGATGCGCTTATGCGGGCGTTTGCAAAGTGGCAACTTTAAATTGAATGATTTTCGCTTTTCTTTATTCCTGTTTTTTTGGAGCTTTTCTCAAAAATTGCCATCGCGAAAGTTTTTTATTGATACCTACTCGTATGGAAGTGGGCGGCGTAAGACGTGAGTTAATGTTACTGAGCAACTTTAAAAACAAATTTCATTGAAACGCTTAAAGATTAACTAATTTAAAAAGTCGTTTTCGAGCAATAAAAGTTAAAAGCATTCAAAAGTGTTGCTTACCTGCAGGCAGGCTGCAGTGCTGTATGCAGTGTTGCATTGCAAAGAGTATGCATTGTATATTTCTAGTTGCATTTTACAATAAAGAACATAAATAGTAAAGCATTTCAACCGTAATAAATAACTGTACAATTGCGCTTGCGGCAAAAGTCGATTTGCGCGCACCTTACCTGCTCTCCAAGAAAGTGTGTTATCTTGCATTCGTATTTTTGTTTTTGTTTTTTTTTTTTTTCATCTCCCAACGCATAAATGCTTGGCATTGTTTAGCCGCCATTCATCATCAGTCGCCTTTTTGATATGCAAATCGGCTGTTTTTTTTCATTTCTCTTTTTTCTCCCAATTTGATTTCATATCTTTAAGAATGAATGCTATGAAATTATTGCCAGCACCTGCAGTCAAATGTCCCAACAGTCCAGCAGTGCAACAGCCGGTGGCAGCAATTCCCTTAGCTGTGGCGTTGCTGCATGCAATTGGCGTTGAGTCGCGTCGGGTAGTATACCCGAGCTCCCATTGTTGCGAGCGCCTTTGGTGATGCAACAATTTGTGCTTTATTGTTATTTGTTGGCATTTGTTGCTGTTATTATTTACCGTTTCCCGGCATTCATTGCGATTGTTGCCTGTGGGCTTACGTCGTTTCCTTTGCCGCCCATCCGCTGCGCGTTCCACTCCACTCCACTTCACTTTACTTTCTCTGGAAACGGAATTGTGTTGCAAGTATTTACAGTCCATTGTTGCTTACAGCCGCCTGCCCTTCTTTACTGCTTGCCTTCTTTCCTTTCTTTTTCGAATCTTTCCTTCCCTCCTTAAGTCCTTCATTACCTCTTTCAATCCTTCCTTCCCTCCTTCAGTCCTTCCTTTCTTTCTCTCCTTAAATCCTTCCTTCCCTCCTTCAATCCTTTCTTCCTTGTCTGCTTTCCTCCTTTTTGTCACCCCTTACCTTCTCTCCTCTATTCATTGGCATTCATTTATGTAAATAAGTACATAATTCTTCAGCTGCCACTGTTGCATTTACTTGCATTCAAGTTGCAACATTTCGTTTTGTTCTTGTTCTTTTTTTATTTGTTTGCTTGCATTTTTTCTTCAATATTTCTCCATCGGCATATCTCTCTGGACTCAAGTTGCAACAATCACAGTAAATCACAGCATACTTCAAGGCGCTCTGGCATGTTCCTTTGCGTTTCGCGCTTTGTTCTGCTTGTGGCACTTCTTTTTTTTTTTGCTTTGCTTTGTTGTTCGCTAGGTGGCTGCTGTTGCATCACTGCTCTTGAGTCATCGCTCAAGTACTCTAGCCTCTATCTCGGATGTGGTTGGAGACTTGTACGCTTTTTCTTCTCATATATTTCTTTTGTTAAGATTGTCTACTTGTACTGGGAAATTTTTTTTATATTCCGAAAGAATTTACATAAATACATTCTCTAACTCTAACTCCTCTCTAAACACAATTCCCCTTTCTCTACAGCTAATCACCGCAGCATTTTTCCTTTTGTGAGTTTCCATTAATTTTTACAAATTTTTCTTTTATTTGCAGTGACTTCAAACCAAATACCCCATCAAAATATGGCGCAGCAGATGCAGTTTTGAATAGTAATGTGCCCATTGATGGCGCTAATATGCCAACCCCTACCAATGCACGCAACAACAATAATAATGCAGAGAGAATTGTTACACCATCGACTATGTATGTCCTGCATGGACATCAACACATCGAATGTGAGTAAAATTTACATCTAATGCATCTAATTTTAGAAAATAAGAAGACCTCTTCATGAAATGTAAGAGAGCCGCAACAATCGCAAAAAAAAATAAATAGCCGATGTGGCTTGTCAGTTAGAAACATAGGTCCTTCTTTTCTGCACTGTCCAATCATAAATTAGAATCAGTGAAAACTCGCCCATAAGGTTAGGTTCTATTTAAGTGGCTGCCTGCTTCCGATGTGTGAGAGAGGCACACTTAGACCCATTGTGGTACCAATTGAGGTCTCGTATTCCATCCCATCTGTTCGCGCGAGAATTCATGAATTCCTGCTTCACTTAGATCCGCTAGAAGAACAAAAATGTGAGCGTAAAATGAGCGTCTACTTGCCCACGATACGTTAGGGCAGTGATAGAGGTAGTCTGTAACACTTTCAATTTCTTCTTCGCCGGCTGAAGTCATTGGCCGTCAAACTCATTCTGTTAGCATGTCTTTCCATCAAGTAGTGACCCGTTATAATTCCACTCGCTTGCCTAAGAAGAGTACGCTCTAACCGAATGGGTGCGGGTCTTGTCGAAGCTGTACCAGTTTTGTAGAGTCGTCTCGGACTTGGCTTTTTTCGATCACATTTCCAAAACGCTTTGGATAAATATGCAACAGACGAAACAGCAAATAGCACCGGACCCTTTCACGGGTAAAAATAACGCTCATGGACACGGCGTTAATAATGTTAAAAACCCTTGGCTACCGCTAGCGCGGATCCAAGGAGGTCCTGACGGCCGAAAGTCCTTGTCGCTCAGTACCGCTTCTAACACACCCCTGGAGGTATCGAAGAAACTGTATATTGAGCTGCTAAGTAGGCCTGTACCGCCGATGGAGTAAGTTTTTCGGCCCTCTATATACAAGGCCGCCTCCGAGGGTAGTTCAACAGCGGCCGGGAGTGTAGTTGAACCGGCACAACTGAATCCATTACTTACACAATAGTGATAGGCCTGATGCCAAACGGTGAGAGCTAATCCCTCGAAGGGAAGCGGAAATGGATCCTTGCTCCGGCTGCTCTCGGGCAAAAAAGGAGGTTCGTCTGGGATGAAGGCACAGCGAGAGAGAAAAGCGGCATCTAGGCTCCTTGCCAAATTTAGTGAGAATGCTGCTAACAGAGAGCAGAATATGCTGGTGGAGTGGACTAGGGGTATCCTTGCTAAAAGCCGAAATTGGACGGAAAGAAAAGACGCCACCGTGATTCTTGGTTCAGCAAACACTACGGAACTGAGCTTAGAAAGGTACCACCACATTGCGGCAACCTAAAAAGCCCAGGTCCCAAAATTCTTCTGGTCCTACAAACCCGGCACGGGCTTTCAATATTGTCGCTAGGGACCATTTGGTTCTAGCAAATGTGAACAGGGTACACCCGGAAGGAAACCTTAGGAAGGACTACTAGAGGTCCATCCTTGTCAGACTCGGCCGGATCTAAAAGGAGATTCTGCACAAAAATCCTGACCCCCCGATAGTGCAAGACGTTGTCCTTTACCGGGACCGCTGAAAACTATTCCCCTGTGTCGACGATAGGCTTTCTTTGTCTAGAGATCTAATAGCTCACCCTTTGTATCTATCTTTCTTTTACTAAAGCGTAAACAAATCCTTTCAAAATGAGAAAGTGACAAAAGACATACCAATGAGTTCTCCCGGAAAGAATCTGCCCTCCACATCCCTGTGACCGGGAATCCAAATGACATTCACACTGTTCTTTTTAGCCAACTTTTGCTATGGCCATGCGAAAATTTTTCAATTAATCATGACGGAGCTGACAGTCACTAAGAATGAAAAAAATCTTTTCCAATCTAGTTCCGAGTTTATTTACAGCATCTATAATATTTAGTTTAAACCTAAACATGGAAGACACTACATTAGTCTGTCAATCGAAATGAGCAGCTCGAGATTACTTCTACCTCTTCACCATTAAGCTTCCAACGATCGATGAAAGTTACAATAGCTTTCTTCTACTTCTCTCTGCTTGGGATCTAAATCTTGAAACGTCTTGCTGGAAGCATAATTTCAGCACAATAGTCTGCGCTGTCCGGAAGAAAGTCAAAGTAACGGCACCCCCAACTGAGATGTCTCTCTTGAATGATTAGCAGCAAGAGCTGCCACTTTCTGCGGCTCAGTAGCAGGAGATCGTTAAACAGTTTAGAGCATCATTTGACGTTGTTCATACGCTATAGCGAAATCATTAGCATAGGTGCGGCCACTTCGAGGCCTTCCATTTCGTCTCGCGCAAGAGGCAGTCAATAGGAATTGGCTTAGACTCGTAGAGGTGGCGTTGCCGTTTCCGCAAACACTCGGCCGATCAAACCGCGATGCTCTTCTAGTCTTTCTTCTTGGTCGATAAGAGCTTTAAGCCTTTGAATGTTATTCACACTAATACTTATAGCATGTCCCCACGAGCACTGCCAGTTATGTAGCTCGCTTCTGAATTACTTTGGTGAATACCCCGTTTACACGACTCATTCCCAATTCGATTTGACAATTCATTGTGGTTTTCCTTTATTTCCTCCCTTTCTTTGTTTTGATTTTTTCTATTCTCTCTGCTCTGACAGCTGAGTTCGATAAAATTCTGATTAAATTTGTTCACAATTCGCATGGTAATTGGATCTGAATTACTTTGAAATGAGGTAATTCGCTCTAAAAATTTTGAATGGCGAATTACGTAATTCGAAGGGTAATTGGGGCGCCAATTACAAATGAGAGAGCCAATTACGAATGGGAGGTTGAATTGAATGACATGGGAGCTTAGTATAACTCTGTAAATCGTTTCACGCTCTCGATATTTGTTTTACTGTCTAGAAGACAAATCTGTTTTGCGTGGCAGTTCTGTGTTTGGGACCCTATTTGTGATCCTCAAAATCTCTATAAAGTGCGCTGATTTTCAATGCCCCGCATTTCCAAAAAAAAAAAAAAAAAAAAAAACATTTAAACAGCAGCAGCAGCTCCAAATAAATCCTTTTGAATAGATTTTTTTATGACCTTAAATACCAAAAAAAAAAAAACACCTACTACTTTCCTAATCCGCTTGACTTAATGTACTCCATTGAACCAATGTGTGCGAGCATGCCAACGCTCAATCGAATTTTTCATATTTCACAACATAAAAGCAAACAACAAGCAGCAGTCAGCTGTCAGTTATGCCATGGTCAGAGCGCGATGAAAGCTTTTAATTTTTTGATTTGTGTTTTTTTTTGTTTGTTTTGAGTTGAGAGTATTTACGCGCCGCTTCGCCAGGAGTTAGGCAGCCAACCAGCCAACCTGTCAGCCAACATACTAGCAACTAGCCAGTTATCCTATTACATCCCTTCCTCCTCGCTTACCAACAAAGCGCAATGACATGACTGCCAATCCGTAAATCCTACCAATTTTGGTTGGCACGTATTGTATTTTTTTACCCGTTTTGCGTTTGTTTTTGCTTTTGCATTTGCATTTTGTTTTATTTTTCAATTTCATTTGCAGTTATATACAGTTATTGCTTTGAAACATTTTAACCGCCTTCCATGCGCATCGTTCTTTGGTGTGCGAGCGTGTGTTTGAATGGTCTGTTGTGCGCGATTTATTTAAATGGAAAATATGATAGCGTTGCTCAACTAATTTACCATTCGGCTACTGGCTCACGTCAGCTGGTAACGTCGGTACGTAACATTTTCGGTTGTTTCGTAGTTTTGCATTTGAGCTTTTGCTGTTGTTATGGATGAAAAAAGATGGCGAATAACAAATCCGCTAGTCGTTTTTAATTAAAATGAAAGCTTATAATAAAACTGGCTATTTCGAATTGCACTAACTGTTGCTGTTGTTGTTGTTATTTCATTCATACCAATTCCATGCGCTATTTTGAGCATAGTTAGTTGGAAAACGGCAAATCCTCTCTGCTACTCCATAAAGGCTATTAAGCGCCTAAAAGTATGCTGAGCGTGTGAGATATGAGTGGTGCGTCTGTATTTTTTAGAATGCAGGTGAAGCTGTTAAAGCGATACTCAACTCAGTTTATGTAAATGCCGAAAGCCTTTTTGGATTTTGAAAACAGGAAATAATGAAAAAATTATCGTATCGCTTTATCAATCCGCTCGCATTGCAGAATATAACTTCTTCAAGATTTTAACAATTTTGCTGTAATATTTTGAGCACGAAAGCTGTTGATTTTTATATTTTAAGGCAAATGAAATGGAAATATTTTCTTGACATTTTTGTTCTGATGGCATGTATGAAAAATAAAACGATTCGTGGTTTTTCAGCCTTTCTCGAGGCTCTTAATTTTTTGTTTTAATATTTTGGGGCTCTAATTTATTTTTTTGGGACTCCATATGCGTCACTTGTTCTGTACCTAGGGTACGGGGGCAAGAAGTTATCGACACTGCGCGAACCGAAAAATATAATAATAGATTTTTTTGGGGTATTATTGAATTTCTTTTGAGTGTTATTAATATTTTTTTAATTTCGTTGAATTTTTTCGCGATTTCTTTGAAAGTTTGCGCGACTTCATTGACTTTTCTCCCTTCTTAGACTTTTTTCGAGATTTGATTAAATTTATTTTGGATTTCTCTGAATGGTATACTATTTTAATTGAGGTTTTTCGAAATTTCATTCCTTTTTTTGAGTATTGCATTGAAGATTTCAGAATACCATCGATTTTTTTGGGAAGTCATTCAATTTTTTCCGACATTCGTAGAATTTTTTTTATTTTGGCTAAATTCGGAATCTTTACTGGACCATTTGACATTTTTGGAGCTTTTTTTGTTTTTTATTTCAGAAGTTTTCAGAATTTTTCTAGCGTATTCAAGTTCGATATTTTCTTTTTTTTTTTTTAATTTTCATTAGTTTGCAGTATTTTTTCGATATTTTTCAGTGTTATTTATCGGTTCTATACAGCAAATCAAAGTTTAAAATTTTCCAGTTATTTTGATTGGGATGGCATGGATGTAAAATGAAATTTGTGTTTTTTTTTGGGTTTTTTTCGAGAACTAAATTTTTTAGAA